TGTATAAATTTAAGAAAAACTAATTATAAAAGAAGAAAACAAAGATATTTTTTTTTAGTATCAAAGTCTTCTTAATGCAATTAATACTTCAATGACTAAAACTACAAACGACAGTAAGAGATTTTTTTTTTCAGACTTTATTTTAATTTATATTTTAATATAGCTTTAGATAATAGTATGATGCCACTTGATTGTAGTAAATCGAATCAACCATCATATCAAGTAAGTTTATTTTTATCAGATAAGACTATCTTAAATAAATATATTCATAAATTAATACCGATATCGATCAAGGTTATTAATAGTTTTTGGCAATGGGAGGGACTAAAACTTCGACAGAAACTGCTTTTATTCATGGAGCGCTAGAAATAGTGAGGCGAGAAGAACAAAATCCACCAATGACCCAATCCCTACTACAACAAACGACTTGCCATCAGGCTGTTCCTAACCCAATTCTATTTAACTTGCAACAATATTGTCTGCTTACCTTGATTTCACTTTCTACCAGAGAAGGGCGAATGGGATGTTTCGAAATCCGGTTTCTGAGAGAAACCTGGTTCCGTTAACCGAGAACCTTGATATCTATCAAGGAGCCTGCTGGATCGAAGGCTTTCAGACCCGGAGAGGATAAACAGAAAATTTTCAGACTCAAACTCGATCCGGTTGAGTGTAGTTGCTACCAAAATTATTCAACAAAGGTTATTTTTTATTTTTTTTTCTGCTGCATTTTAATAAGAAAATAAAAAATTATTATCAGATTCTCGAGAAGTGAAACTCTAGAAAAGTAAAATCCTAGGTTTTCAGCATCTAGAAATTGTAAATATAATTTTATTTATTTCTGCGATGTTTCTTGGTTAAGATACGGTGATTTAATCGCAGGTGAAAAAAATGTTTTTTTTTTTATAGGAAATAGCAAAAATTTAGTTTTAGGGCTTCCGTAAGAATGATTTATTTTAAGAAAAAAATATCGCAGAGAACTCCAAGACGTCTCATTTTGTAGAAAACTATCATATATAGTTTAAACAAAATTGTAGTTACAGTTACTGGCATTAAGAATCTGATAATAATGTTTTTTTGAATATTATTGTTGGGACAGGGGCGTAGCCAGGGGGTGTGCACAGAGTGCCCCGACACACCCCTTGGCCAAGAAGCATCTGGAGGGGGGTATGGATGAAAAGTCTTTCCGAGAAACAAAAATTTATTTTTCTGCTGGCGTGCACCCTCCATAATGAGTCGGACACCTCCTTTAGAAAATTCCTGGCTACGCCACTGTGTTGGGAACAAGTTTTTCTATTCGAATCACTCTGGGAACTATGTCTAGTATTCAAGGCAACGGAGAAAAACAATGAAATCTTGTTGAATAACTCTGATAGCCACTATAAGTGCCCAGAGACTTACGGTTCACACCATTAGCAAGAGTGTGTCTCTGTAAAAGCCAATCTGTTAAAGAAGGTATATGTTGGTCACTTGACAGTCAACTGTGAAAATCTGCAATTGCAAGATATCTTTCTCCTCTAACTAGGACTAATTCAACTGATCTAACGTTTAAAACAATTATCATTCGTTGTTAAATATCAAAAATAGGAATATTTTAACTGCAATGTTTGACTAAATTTGATGGCGCAGATACCTGTGTACTTTTATAAACTAATTGATGAATTTTTACATATGTTCACGCTTCCTATTTTTTTTCGATCGAATGATGAAATCTGCACAGGTTTCTAGCTACTTGTACTCTGGTGTTACTTAAAAAACAACGAATCACATTATATTTATAACAGGGCATTAATTTTTATCAAACAAAAAAATTAAAAGCCCATTTTGAGTCTTACATGAACAAGAATCTTACGATAGTCAATACTGTAAAAATATGAAATTAGTCATTTTGATTTTGAATCTATATGTACTAGAGGCATTACCTTCTATTTTATCATTATATATTCATACCATTAACAAATTTATACAAAAGTCTTATCTATTGTAAGTAATAAGGATGTCGTGACTCTCGTTTCTGACCATTTCCTTCTTAACGAACGAGAACTCAAAAAGAAAACAGTTCGAGAGCTCGACGTCATCTTTCAAGATCTTTCATGCAATTAGAAAATAACCCAACATGACATGTTTCTTTTTTTTAACAATATTGATGCTAAGCAACTTGCATACGAATTTATAATTCTATGTCGGATAAAATAAAAAGTAATTCTAATATAAATAATTGAGTTTGTAAGACAATTCACCATATATTCGCATGTAGAATTTCAAAGAGAGATTTTAAGGATATCATTCTTGAGTGTTATTGTCTCAAAGAAGGATAATGCACTCTAGATTTTATTTTCTAACATTTTCTACTTATACCGAGATGTATATATACGTCTTTGTCTATTTTTTTATGTCAGTTCCCGTTCCTAGATACGGAAACTTACAGTAACACATTTGGTAAGAAACTTCCGAATTCATATCTTGCTAACACCATTAAGAAATGTTTTCTTCTGCGCAGAAAAAAATTATCAAAACTTTTGAACTAATCTTCTCATAATGTAATAATAATAAATGATACACAAGTCTTTGAAAAAAATGTCGATATTTATTTTTAAACAATAAAACTTTGATTCAACTAAAGTTGTTTATTTGTCTGAAAGAGTAAAGTCTGAAGAAAGTATATATGTAAAACAGAAATCTTTTTATCTAATAAATTTATCATATACGAGAGTATTCTATAGATTCGTCTCAAATAAGCTTTGTAGTTTTCGAAAGCATTCATTTAGTGATGAATACTAGTTTAAGACATGCAAAGTTATTCGATAAAGATGAAAACATTTGATCTCAGCAATATATTTTTTTCAAAAATGACTATTTACTCTTTAAAAACTTTACGAACTCGATATTTCTTTTTTCATTCACAAATTTATATTCTAGTAAAATAGACATAACAAGCAAAAAGGAGTTTTTGGATCAATAATATAACCAAAATCGAACTTCAAATAGATGACGTAATAAAGTTCGAAAAGCTCTATTCGTGGCTATATTTAATACAAACTTTGCAAAACACGATATCACAAAACCTACCGATCGAAAATACAAAAAGAAATTAAGTTACGAAGACATTTTGACTATGGCTTTATACTGGAATTTCTTATGATGATAAATCGAAAGTAAAAATTCTAACTCTATTAACCTATTTTAAACTTCAGACTTAACCCTTTCAAACGTAATAAGAAGTTCGTCTAGACACGATATTCGAGTGTTAAGAAATATATGTCGACATTTTTGCGATTACTTTTGTATTGCTTCTTATATTCCAACAAACAAAATACACTTTTGTCATTATCTCCTTTGAATGTTATTCAAATATATCAGTAAATTACAACATATTCTTGTACTGTTTTGAGAAAGAAAAATTTTCAATTTAAAACATGATAAGTAGCGTGTTTTACTGTGCTATATGAAACAAGAAAACGAATAAATTTTTCCAACTATCACTATTCATGATCGAGATAAATGAGAATTGTGAAAGATCCGTAAAAATGCTTGAATACGACTATTCTGGTTATACATCGGAGAACCACAGAAATGCGAGAAGTTTCCAAGATTCTTTAAAAAATACACACGTGAAAATTATCCGTTATAAGAATCACATTTATGTGTGAGGGTACATGTTTGAAACTCAATATTCAAATAAATCTCAACTACATAAAATAGATTCATGATGTGACGTCATTTGTACTGAATGACTTTCATATTGCACGATTTCGAATAAGTTCACAGTAATTTTGATAGAATCTAAAATAAGAATTCAAGTAATCTGTTATATATAGTTATTATAACCATAACTGTAAAGTATTATGCCCGCAATAATCTTGTATGATGCATTAAGACTATTTTTTCTTTTTCGCATCCAGCAATAATTTGTTATGAATGAATAAAATGATCAACTTTTTTTTTTTTGTGATAGTAGAATTTTCTCTTGATTTTTTTTTCCTAATTAGTTTATTTCCTATTCACTGGTTTTCATTCAATAGTACGTCGATTATTAATAGATGAATTGATTAATCTCAGATTTATTTTTAATCTTGCATGACAAAAAAACCGCGCAATGGCTCGACATCTAAGATAAAAACAGTAATCACTTTTTTCTTCGAATAGTACATTTTATTTTCTCTGATTCTACCAACATACAATAATTTTAGTCAAAAAAATAAACAAAATCAATAAATTTCGTTTATTTACAATTTCTGTGATACTTTTAATATCTTAAGAGAAGATCGTAGCAAAAATACGGAAATTCCTCATTCTGTTCAGAATTGTATTCTCTTTAAAACAGTTTACTTCGAAAATATGTTCGACAAATCTTCGTGTATCAGAAGACTACCACCGATTGACTATTAAAGTTACTATCTGATCGTTAAAAACTATAGTATACCAAGTATTCATAGATATAACCCTTGTCATATAAAGAAGGACGAAAAAAAAAATATCAAAAGGAAGTGTCGTAGCTGCTACAAGTGTAAACAATGTTGTTTTCACGGTGGATAAAAGCGTACGTGAAAAGAAAACTAAGATCTAAACGAACTCTCATATCCTTTATGTTCATAAATAAATAATCTTTTGTTAGTTCAAATTTAGCATCCTCCTCCTTCTGAAAGTCTCAATCTTTCTTTTTTCTTTGTTTAGTTAAGTTATCCATATTCAACAAATAATATGGCTCATGTACATGGTCTCGATTTGAATTCATTCTTAACATAAATCAATGTTGTTGTTTTTTTTATTCTTTTATGTAAATATGCACATGTATACGATTCCTTTGTTTAGTATTATCATGGGAAAAAAGTTCCTAGTAAAAAAAAGATTTTGTTCATGTCTTACATTGATGATGATCACCAAGAAAAATAAAAGAAAAAAAAATCAATTTATTCTTGTCACTTATATTAACACAAAGAGAGAAAAAAAATATCTATATTAACAAAAATTGTAATAAATTTCTTTTTTGTTGTTGTTTTTTTTTATAAAGCTACATCAATATTTGATAAATCCAGATCAGCCCATAATTTGAAATCTCCAAATGCTTGAAGTTGATTAAAAAAAGCTTCTTGTGTTTGTAGATCTGCTGTAGCAAGTGCATCAAGTAAAAGTGGATCAAATTGTTGTTGTGATGATAATAATAAATCATCAATATTTGAATTTGTTAAAGAAAGATTTTCACTTATATTTGAATTATTTTCATTGTTACTATTATTATCATTATTATTACTATTTGTTTCTAATTTTGATGTTAATAAGGCATCCGATGAAGTATCTGATGTATCAATATGTATTGATGAATTATTTGTTAATAAACCTTTTCTTAATCGTTTACGTGGTTTATATTTATAATCAGGATATTCACGTAAATGAAGCATTTTTAAACGTTCAGCTTCATCAATAAATGGACGTCGTTCATTTTCTGTTAAACATTTCCAACGTGCACCTAAATATTTTGATATTTCAGCATTATGCATATCAGGTGCTAATTGTACAATTTTTCGACGTTCTAATTGAGAAAAAACCATAAATGCATTCATTGGTCGTTTTATACGATTAATACGTTTTTTTGATCGTGTACATGTTGCATCTGAATATGGTGTCTTTGTTGATGGTTCTATTAATGACGAACCAAAACATGATGGTGGTTGGATATTTGAACTTGTTAATAATTCAACTAATGTTTTTGTTTTAGTAAAAACTTGTTCATTTCGATTTTCTTTATTACTTGATGAAACTACTAAAAAAGAAAATTTGTTTTAAATATTATCATAATGAACTTATATCTCCGCTCTAACCGATGTCTGTCACACTATATGCTGGACCTCGGAATAGTTTGTGTATACGTACTTCACCAAAAATGTACATCATTATTTTTTCGACGTCGTTATTGCATAATAATAAAGACTCATGATGGACGTTACCCATTTTTTACTGACAAGGAAACCGTTCAAGATGAGACCTTGCGTTTGATATGAGACGCAAGTCATCACGCAGCTCCTCATAAGACTCGAAGAATTCTTCTTTGTACACTGCGTGTTTGGACTTGTTAAGATCATTACACTGAATTTTTCACCTTTCGCACTATATTTATCAAAAATCAACTCAACAAACAAAATTTTCCCGATAGACAGCTCTTGAAGTCACAAACCTAGATTTTGGTGGAATATCATATTTTCAAAGAGATTCTAGTGACTTGAAGAACTGTGTATCGACAAAATCGTTTTTTCGTCTTCTTTTTTTATAAATATCATCCCAAAAGCAAAAACTCTTGTGAAATGAGCATAACTCGAAAAGATCAGTACATTGAAAAGAATCTTTCTAATATCAAAAGACCTGACCTAATGACTGGAATGTCATTTCGGCATAGTTCTCTCATGAGCATGATAACCTAAAAAAAGACGATCTCCAAAATAAGATAAATTGATGCTTCTACATCTTTGAAACTAATAAGAATATCATGTATGCCATTTCCCCGTAGTGCAAGATATATTTCTCAAAAAATTTTGAATTTCAAAGGGCAGCAGATAGTTTCTCTCTACAATAACGAAGTATGTGTATATAAATTTTCAGACTGCTGACATATACAATGACCGAGACTTCAGTTCACTATACTACATTTAATAACATACCAAAATCAGTATGTGAAGATGAAGATGATGGTTGAATAACATTGATAGGTGTTTCAAAAAGTTTTGTTATACTATTTTGTGTTGATACATTAGAATTTGTTGATTGTAATAAAGCTATTTGATTTAATGTATTTAAATTATTAACGAGGGTAGCAAAATTAATTGTATTTTGTCCATTAATTATCGTTGAATTTGTAGTAGGATTATTATTAGTTAATAGAAGACGATTAATCGTCATTGGTTGTTGTGATTCTGTTCTAATTGAATTATTATTGTTATTATTCATAATAAAAATCGTTGGTTTGGTATTGATTGTATCATTTGATGTTTTAATAACAGGTGTTGTTGTTATTGTACGTAATTTTTGTACAGCAGCGTCACCAATACGCAAAGGATTAATAAGGTTTTTAGTAACTGATGAAGAATTTTTCATAGCTGGTATAATTATTGCACCTGATGAAAGATTTGCTATTGACGAAGTGGTTAATATGCGTGAACATGATAAATCCATGTTTGACATTTTCTGAATAACTAGTGCTCAAACTAAATATAGCATTGTTTTTATTAGTATGAAAATATTGAAATGTGGACGGCAGCGGTCATTGTATATTACGACGACGGACGGATGGAAATATATATGTAATAATTGTGGTTGTCCTTTTTTTTGTTTCGTTCAATATATTGACCGGCGTATTCTTGAAATTGTGTTGACTGTCTGTGTTTCTTTTTTTTTTTTTCTCTTTATTCGTGGTGTATTCACATGAATGACAAAAGCAGCGCGGACAATCGTTTTCTCTTAATTTCGGAAATGAAATGAAAGAGAAAAAAAAACCCAGCTGCCGGTCAAATAAGAATAAGACAATAAAATTGTGAGAATTGTTATCGATATATATCTATGAGTTGACCATCTGTCATTGTATTTATTGTTCATCTTGATAAATTTTATTTTGATGGGATCGAAATTTAGATGAAAGAAGGGGAAAAAAAATTTCTTTTGTTGTTGATTGAAAATGTTGAAATGTCCAAAAATTCTACATTTGTTTAATGAAATGAGTCTTTATCTATATATATATCGAATAAAATGATTTAATTTATACTTTAGAAAAGAAAAAGAAATCATCAACAAAGATTTTGTCAATTGATAATGATCGTTAGCGGATAAGATTTACTTTGACACTAACACGATCACCTTCGGGGCTTTTGTTTGTCATTCACCTGTGAGTATGTGCAGGTTGAAATTGATAAAAGAAATATAATGCACTAGGTCATTACCTCAGTAGTTTATTATGGAAATGTGAAGACTTGATTAAAAAAAGAACAAACAAACAAAAAACAGTTTATTTGAACTATATTCATCTAGTCTTTTTTCATGGTGTTATTATTCTCTATTTCGAAGCGTTTCAAAATTGTGCATCACGATTTAATATTCGTATATAATTAGAACTACTCTATCATACGAAGAACAATCGTGTGTATGATTGACTGATATTATCAAAGTAAAGTACACTCAAATGTTTCCAACGTGTACTTCAAGAGCTATGGTTCGAACAATAATTATTACAAATGTATACCATTGTAATGAATCTTACTGAGGTCCAGACAAACCTTAGATAGCCAATAAATGTTTAGATGCATTTCTAGATCGTCAATTCATAGAAATATATTATTCTAATTAGCCAATTATTGGCTTTATGATAACAATTTGGACCTGAACTTTCATTAGCATGGCTATTGACAGAAACACTATTGAAAAAATTCGACGCTATGTGGTTCACAACAAATATTATATTGGTTGTAGAGAACTTTATGAACTATTGTTTACTAGAAAACATGTTATTTATGTTTTCATTGCGGTGATCCTGAACAGCATGAAGAATAAAACCTATAAGTTTGAAAAAATAAAATTTTTCTTAAAAAGTTTTCTGTACTTTAAAGTAAAATACTTTGAAACATTTTATGTGATATATATCGACTCAAGTGCTCGTGGCTTACATACTAAGGATGACCTAAAACTGTTCTATAATAAATGTTTCTATACGAACAACTGTTTTTCTAGCGAAACAATGTAATAAAATACATTCTTTAAAAAATTACTAGAAATATTTGTCATATTTGAAAGTTTAAAAATGAAATTTGTGAACAAAGTGTCGTCTAAGGAATGAATTCGTATTGTAAAACTACTTTCGAATTATTTGATGATTACCTATAATATCTTATATGTTAACTAGATGTAATCAAATTCTTGCACTATTAACAAGGTTCTTTTTTTTCTGTAGAAACCATTAAGACAGAAATTAAGTCTAATATAATAAAAAAAAGAAAAATCAATGAAAGATCAATCGACAACAAAATTTGATCAGTTCAAAAATTGGGTGAGGACATGGATCTTCTCGTTACTCATATCCTCAATAATTTCGTTTAATAATTTGTATATATAAAAGATATATTTACTCCATTGAGACAATCTTTAGATGCTTGAACGCCTTGCTCTTAGTCATATATGAATCTTTAATTTATTAATCGCAATAAATATCTCTTTGAAATGATCTACTATTTTCTAATTACAAATATGTCTTTGAATAGTTTGGGTTTCGGAATGTGCAGGTTAGGAAAAAACTTACCCTATACATCTGTATTTGTGTTGTGAGCAATTTGTCTGGATCGAAAAATGTCACAGTCAAAGAAAAGTGGTTTTTCATTGCAACGTTTGTTGTTCGTATAGGATTCTTTCTTTCTAAAGATAGAAATAATATATGGAATCAGTAACATCTAGTCAGCATGTTAAATATTCCGTTAACCATAAATAATTTCAAAGTAATGTTGTAATACGAATTCATTGTTTAAGTCACAGAGAGTTTCAAATATGATAGATGTTTCTAGATATATAGCTTTCTTATTCAATGATCTGGCGGGGTCAATTGATAGTTATTCTAAAGAGCACATTTTACTGTATTGTTTCACTAGAAAGACAATTTGACGATAACAGTTATTCGTATGGCAACGTTTAATATTCAACACAAGTTATGATTTCTAGGTTGAACTTTAAATGAAATCGATACATTGAAATTTGTTACTATCAATATGAAATTTACCTCCAAATCAATTGTATTTTATCAAAAGAATAACAAAATCTATTTGTCAACAATAGAAAAACAAAAGCAAAACAATGTGAACATATGAATTTTATGATAAAATTCTCTTTTGGACGAAATTGTATATTGCATAGAGTGAATAATACTGTTGCTCTAAGCAGCTGGTTTTTGCGGTATGGATTCTTTAAGAACACGATCAAGATAATTTTTAACTTCAGGCCAAATTTTATCACTTTCACGTCCATGAAATTCTTTAAGAATACCAAATTTTCTAATAAAATATGAAAAAATAAATGTTCACATTATTAAAAAATATATTTCTGTTAATTTACTTGTAAAATTCCATAATTGGATTTGTATTTTTATCATAAGTATTTAATCGATGACGAAGAACTTCAGGTCTATCATCTTCACGTTGCGATAATGGTTCATCTGTTTGATCATCTTTACCGGATACTTTTGGTGGACTCCATAAAAGATTATAAACTCGTCCACTTGGCAAATGTACCCATCGATCTTTTAAACGATTTATAATTTCATCAGCAGGTACATGTAATGCAATAACATGATCAACTTTCATTTGTCGATATAACATTTCAGCTTGATTTAATGTACGTGGATAACCTTTCATAAATATATATTATTAAAAAATTCTATTCATACATTTATTTTTACCATCTAATAAAAATCCTTGTTCACGATTTTTTTCAAGTTCATCAACAACAAATTTTAATATAAGTTCATCAGGTAGAAGAAGACCTTTATCAACATGTTCTTTAATTGTTCTACTTTCCTCTTATTAGAAGAACAAAAAACAAATAAATATTCAAATATAAAAATAAAGCTTAATCAAGATTAATTACCTGTTTTTTGTTGAATATTTTGACGAAGTAAATCTCCAACAACAATATAAGGCATACCATAGGTTTTAACTATTCGACTAGCAATTGTACCTTTACCAGAACCAGGAGCACCTAATATAACTAATCGACGAGCTATTTGAGAAGCCATATTTTTTTTTATTTAATGAATTTGACTAGTTTATCAATGAGAAAGGACAACAAATTTTATACTTGATGATAATAACTACTTTTAAAATATGATTCATCATTTGTACAGTTAGTTAGTTTTGTTACCTTTTAAAAAGCGACATTACAGTCAATGTAGAGGTCGATCTGTGACAGCATTAGGTAATATGGATTTCCTATACTTTATCTGTTGAAATGAAATAAATAAATTATATAACGATAGAAGATCATATATCGTAAATTTTAATTTCATTTTATATTTCAGAATATATTTAAATCGAATAGCTGATGGAAATTTCATTTGACTCGAAGCTTTGTTCATAGTTAAATTACAGAATCGTGATGGAATTATATAAAATGGACTTTGAGTTTGAGCCCTATTGTAAACAAGTGAAATGGTTAACTCGACTAAAAGATGATGTGTTATTCATAGGAAAATAGAAAGATTTTAACGATATAAAAATATGGCTTTTAAGAAAGAAAAAAGCTTCCGGACGGAATCATGTTTTCTTCAACCTTTATTTCTGCAGAATACACAAATTGATATCATTTGTTAAAAGGCAATTATGAAGAAATATTTTTTCATTATTCTTCTAATAGCATAAATTTTTTTACGACAGTACGATATACATGCATATAAGTTATTACCATTGCAATGCGCTAGATCAAAAACTATTCTCGCAAAATCTTTTTGTTAGTCTGAAAAATAGATTTTCTGAAAAACTTAATTAGATCTTTTTTAATTATATTCGAAATGAGTATGATCAATAACCTGCAATCTAGTAAGATTTTGCAAAAAAGTGATGAATTGGCTTAAAATATTTCCTCAGTAGTAGAATATGAGTACACAAATTTTCCGACCTATAGTCAACATACAAAGTAATGGATAGAGCTCATCGAGTCCGGATCTGAAAATTTTTGAACCCGATGGGTTCTAGTCATCTGTGGAATGTGCTAGGTATCCTAGTGATCAGATACAAAGAAAAAACGAAAAAAGGTATCTTGTACTTTGAGAGCGATTGTCTAATTTCAGTTAAAAAATTTCATTGAGAGTATCAAAACATGGTTAGACTGAGTTTGGAATTTTTCGAACTCGGATAGGTTTTAGTGATGAGAGAATTTTGTTCACTAGTGTATTTAGATTTATTTATTGTAATTCACTGTTAAATATAAGAATAAGTGTTTTTTAATTGAATAATGACATTATCAGGAATTATGATGCGTAAGAATCCATTGAGCAAGTCGAGCACTTGTTAAATAATCGGTTGAATATGTACAAAAATCCCAAAATAGATCATCTTGTATAAGTTTATCAAGTTCAATAAATTCATTAATTGTTATAGATTGTGGATTTGAAAGCATAGTTGATGATAATAATGGATGAATAAATGTATTATTATTATTATTATTATTATTATTAGTATGAATTATGGATTCTTGTACATGAAAATTTTTCAAAAGATCATCAAATAAATGATCATCTTTTTCATCATTTATATTTATTAATGTATTTTTATTAAAATATTCATCTGTTCTATGTTGTGTTTTATTTATTATTGATGAATAATTTATATTTCGATTTTGTTCAAGATAACGTAATACAGCTGGATTAATAACTACTCGACCACCATTTATTTCACTTGATGAACTTATTGGACTATTTGTTGTTATTATATTATCATCAATATTATTAATAAAATCATCTTTTTTTCTTGGTCTACCACCTTTATTTATTATTATACTATTAATTGATGTTTTTATCCAATTAATATCATCATTAATAATATCATTTGAATAATTTATATTTAATAATGGAATTGATGTTTGTGAAGAAAGTAAAGATGATGATATAGATGAACGAGATAAGGATTTCTGAATTATTTTATTTGTTTTATTCTTATCTTTTTTACTACCTTTTGGTCGTGGCATTTGGATTTTGTTATATTCTTTATATATAATTCAAGTAAATTTGATTTGTTATGTTTAATTTGTTGTTGTATAATCTTTAGAAGATTTTACAGCAAAACTATAGAGAATCTTTTTGTTTGTCTATATATTTATATCAATGTAGTATTTAAATGAATTTGTTTTAAGAAAACGAATTTTCAAAGTACGGCGCCTTATAATGACAATGAAATTATTGTTTAGTCGAATATGTTTTCTTTTTTCATAATAAATAAGAAGATAAATTATGTAAGAAAATTATCGTAAATATTGATAAAGAATATAATAGATCATAAAATATGTATATCATCATTTATAAGTTCATATATATTCAAACATACCATCATTAACTAATTAAAATATTTTGAATATATTAAAAAAATTCTTTCTATTTAACAATATCAGTATAATAAATAACATCTTGTTAATCATAACAAAAACAAAAAACACAGAATGTTTCAAAATTCCGAACGAAAGAAATAATGTGAATAGCTGCTCAGCAATTCAAGAGGTTTTTATATAGTTCGATCCCGTATATTCATAAAAGCTTTATTCAATATATATCTGAATTTGCAATCAGTAGTAATGATGATAAGTAATACCTGATATAGATTAACTAAAGAAGTCGGACAAAAAACTGTTCTACAAGTAAAATTCTATTGTCATAGCTACAATTGTTCTATTGTCATTAGATCTAACTGACCTACAATCGTCAACTATTTTATTGCCAGTCAACGTCACGTAGACAATCTTGGAGAATGATATTATGACGCTGATATAAATGCTACAGAATACTGAGATGGTTAAGCATTTGAATGACATTAATTTGATCGCAAGAAAAAATGTTGATGGGAAGAAGTGGGTGTATAATGTATATATGGATATCAGTTTTCTCTTTACACTTACACTTCACTCTCAACAGAGCTACTTAATAACATCTGTTTTTTCTGTTTTCAATAACAACGACCTGGATGAATATATTGACTTCTATAGATTTTTCTAAGCATTTTGCGAATGAATCTATCCAAAAAGTCTGTGACAGTACAAATAAAAATGAGAAAATTCAACTTATGCGTCTATGGTTGATATTATTGAAAACAGAAAAAAAAATGAAATTCAGCGAAAATATAGCAAATCTTAGTTTCATTGCTACATGAGACATATCAGCACTTTTCTCAACAAATTGTCATTCTATAGTGCAGAAAACTTTCAAAGTAAAGGAAGCGACCAAAGTTATATCTGTGATATAAATAGAACGTCAAACAACAATAGCAGAGAGAAATAATCGAAAAAATAAGGCATTGTGTTTATTTTTACCAGGGGTTTATGTGATCATCTCTTCTTTTTACATAGAAAACACCATATAGAAACATAATAAACGTGTTTATAATCAGTAAATTTTATACTCAACCGCTAAAATCAGTTCCAAGGTAATGTCTAGAAAATGTTCGACAAGAAATTATTTATTTTGTCAATTAGTCTTTTCGATACTACAAGCATGTTTCATTTTAGTGATCTTAATAAAAAGTGCGAATACCATTATTTCTACCAAAGCTCATTTCTCTTGTCAATAGTCTGCAAAATAATATTACATATTGGAAATCAAAAAAGAAAAAATCATTCACCGATATTTATCTAATATTAAAGAAGGGATTGTAGATTAGACAGAAAGATATCAACAATACTCATAAGATGTTCAGTATCCTTAGCAACATCATCGGTAATAATTGAATACCACTGTGTTACATTTTCTCGTATGGATTTATTTAACTAATTTTGAAACAATCAAAAAAAAAAGAGATTTTCTATTATGCTTTAAGGAATACAATCAGAATAAAACTTGACGTGTCGAGATTAGAAAAGTAACTGGTCGGAAAATTTCTCGACATCGTCTCGGAACTGGTTTTAATATTTTAGTATTAAATTTAGTAACTATTAAAACATAATTATGTTTCTGCATGTTATTTGTTAGATAAAAAAAATGTATAGTCAAATTAAGGGTCAGACTGCATATATCACAGCAGAAGTCGCTACAGTCAACGTTATGTCCTGATTTCTTGATTTTTTTTTCTCGTTTACTATAGCGAAACCGTACGTAGTATGGTCAGACATAACGTTCATTTATGCTCATCTCATACCAATATGTAACTGTTAAGTAGAGTTTTCTGATTATGATGATTTGTTTCAATCGAAGCATTATTCGCAAGTTTATCTTTGATAATTCTATGTATTCAACAGAATTAGTTACAGTAAAAAAAAAAATTCTACCAGAGTTTTTTTTCCTCCTTTTGAAAAGAACAACAATATATAAGATGAACTTGAATTTTAATTTTGCGAAACATATTAATAGATATTCCATATCTTGATGAATAGAATACTAAATATTCTTTATCTTCATATTCGATCGGCTTGACAGAAAAAGAAATAACTTTTTTTCTCTCAGAAATAACTCAATTTTCCATGTAAACGGAAAGACTAGAGAACATTGGGTATATGAATCTGCACACCACAACTCGATTAATTTCGACTTCTCTCTTCCTCTCTGTTTCTCTGTATTGTTACGCTTCTTCAATGTAGTTAATTGTTTATATTTTAATTAATCTTATATTAATCGATAGAGAACTGTTTGATCTCTCTCGGAAAGAAACAATTATTTCTCTCGAATGTACATATTCGAATTAACAGGCAGAAAAATAATAAGTGTTTTTCTTTCGACAGAATTAGAATGTTTGTACTGTAATTGATTTTTTTTGATTGTTTTTGACGATTAGAATTATTCTTTCATCAGTAATAAATATAATAATGTATTAACATTCCGGATGTCTATCAAATACTTATCTTTTCTTTTCAATAGTAAATACTTCCTTTATGATTTCCACAAGAACGACGGCCAACAACAAAAAAAAACAACGCTTGGCACTAGTTATCATTAAAGACAACGAGTTTAATCACAGCCAAGATTTTTTCATCAGCATACGAATTAATAAGAAGAGAGAAACACATAATGTCATTTTGTATCCAGCATTTTGTCAATGTTTATTTCGTATTTATTACATTTTTTACACTTAGTCTAATGATACATTGTAAGAGTACATTTTTTTTCCATCTTACAATGAAATAAATTGTATAGCCAAAGGTAATATAAAAAACAATATTCAACATATTATTATATGATTTTCTATATAACACGTAATGATGTATGCGTAGTCACTTTATTTTTTACGATCAACTACGATTACGGTTATTGCTTTTACATTTGCCTGTAAACATAATATTTCTTTTTCTTTATTATTATTATTTTTTTTTTTTCATCTGATTCAAAAGTAGTTATTTTTTTATTTATAACATTGAATGGTTTATTTGTTTATGAAATATTTCTATGTTGTAATATTCATCATGAATAACAAATACGCGTGTATGTATATATGTGTCGGTTTTCCGGTGTAACAAATTTTGTCCTTCGATACATATTTTATAGACATTTTGTCATTATTATTATTATTTTTTTTTTTTTTTTGATCAACTCATAGCAATTTAGTTTTTGATTTATCTATGCTCGAGTGATTCATATTAGTTATACTTGTCTTCTGTATTTGAACATATATAAAATAATTGAATTTTTTTTTGTTTTTTTTTTGTTAAAGATTTGTTCGTAATCATATACTAGTGTTATCTCCTTTGAATAAAGATCGATAATGTTATTCATAAGATATTAACGATGACAGCTTAGGATTGACGCATTTTTTTGCTTTGTTTAGATAAATAAAACTATTATTGTTTTATTCCATCAACATGAAGACCTAATAAGGAACCAATAGCTTTGTCGATTATTGTTTAAGTTTAGTGCTATTAAAGTCTTCAATATTATTTATTATGATATTTTATTTAGCTATATTTTTCCTATTGAAAATATATTCAAATTAATGTTCAATTGTATTTTATTAATCATAGTAATGCATCAAACAGAAACACTATAAACTAATATCTTAATTGTCTCTTAAAATAGATATGTAGATGTATATCATTCATCAAGAAAATCCATTTAATTATTAGAAAACCATTGCATAAATATTACCAACCACGCGCATCAAGTAAACAAGAGAAAGGCGAAAGAAAATATTATTATATATTTTGGCCACATTTTTAAACGCCACTATCATAACATCATCGTCGATGAATCGTTTCTGTTTCCTTACATCGACTGACAAGTATTCGTCTAAGGTTGATAAGCAATGAGGCGAAGCCAATAGCCTACGTATATGTGTATGTGCTTATTTATGTATAAAACGTCATTTCGTCGAAACTATAAATCAACGAAAAAAAACGTGTCGACGATTAAGTTTTTCTGAACGTTTTGTATTCCAGGTAAAATGCATGAAACAAAATTCTTTTTTTTTTGCCTAAATTTTATTTAGTAAAAATTTCATAAATTTATTTTAAAGTTAGCAAAACAAAAATTCATTAGCATAAAAAACATATCAATATTTTATTTTATTCTACTAATAGATATAATGAAATGAGAAATATAATATGATGATGATCTGAATAAAAAATAATAATATATGGTTGAAGTATGTTAATAAAATAGCATCACTTATGACTTCTTAAGTGAGCAAAGAACGAGGAGAAGTATTACTAGTCTTTTTCTATTTTTTTTTTGATTATGACAACATATCTTAAACAATTGTTTTCACAAAATATTCTAACACATGAAGAGTCTAAAATGCTTTGTAGTCATTGATTTCTATCGTCTGAAATGTTAAAAGAATATAATCGCGTATTATTCTTCGATAATATCTAATATAATAAACCTTTTGACGTTTAGTTGATGACGTTCGAACTTGTCTTCAATGAAGAACGAAAAAAGAACGAATAATGATTAAGGTGTAATTCGAATACATGTTCAAGCTTGTTTTTCAACCTCGTTTTCGTCTATTGAGCAAGTCGGACTATATGACTCAAGCGACTAAAATTAATAATTCTTGATCTTTCCATTATATTCTTCACAATGAAAATTTTTTAACATAATACTTTTTTTTGTATAGAAATCTATAGTTGAGGTGTTACTATTTTGCACATTGAAAAGATACTGTCAACTGAATTAAGGTAATCCTTCTTTATAAGATGCAATGAATTAAAGTTAAATCTTCACAGATTTTTTATATGAATATCAAGTACAGATAATTACAAAAGAAAACTAATCATGCTTCTTCTTCTTTTTGTGTTCAGTGATTTATTTCTACATTATTTTTTTTATTAGGAGATTCTAAAGTATGCTTGAATACTTGAAATAAAAATATCGAATGTGCAGGATGCTCCAAAAGTTTCTTCCACTTAAAGTTTTCGTATATTTTTGCTATTTAATTTCACTTTCTCAACTAACTTTTTTTTAAATGATAGTTGAATGACTACTTCCAAATTGCGGTCAAAAATCACACCTATTTGCGCCCTCACCCACACTGTTGGTCTGCTGATTGGTTTGATCTTTGCCCGCAATTTGGAAGCTACGAGTTGAATACGGTGAGTTTTTATTTACACGAATAAACTTCAGAAGTACTATTCAAGACAGATCTTTAGCCGAAATACAAAAATTTAGTCTGTTTTCTATTTCCAGGAAAACTCATGAATGATGTTTATGTTAATTGTTTTAAATTTTGACTGAATACCGTTCAATTTGTTTTTTTGAAGACATGACAAAATAAAATTCTATGAAACGAATGTTCAATAATTGGAGAATTTTTAAAGATCTAAATGACTCACTATCCCGAAGTAATTGAAAAAGTAATATTGCGTAATATTTTCCTGAAAATAGCAAACAGACTAAATTTTTGTGTTTCGGTTAAAGGTCTTTGTCTTGAACAGTACTTTTGAAGTTTGTTGGTGTAAATAAAAACTCGGTGTATCCATCTATCACTTTTAAAGTGGAATTAAGTAGCAAAACTATATGAAAAATTTAAGTGAATGGGACTTTTGGGACATCCTGTATTATAACATATTTGACACAAAAATTAGAAAATATTGAAAAAGTTTTTTGAGTAGTTTAAGAATTTTGTATCTTTCACATGGTGAACAAAGTTGCTTATCAGTTTCACTTTTTTTTAAAAAAACGTATGATAAATAGATAAATATAAATACTTGCTACAAGAGCTAACAGTGTTAGAATAAGACACAGATAGTATCTATGTCCTTAAATTACTTTGTTAATGTAAATTGAAATTTCAATATGATGATGAGATAGTTCTATATTCAAGACATTATTCTTTCGACTAAGATTGTTTCATGTTTATATGTTAATCAAAATCTGGATATAACTAGATTTGACATGAGATTGAATTTCTATCAATCTCATTGTCGTCATAACATAAGATCAGTAATTAATTAAAAATTGAATATACATTATATCATTATCGAGATTTATATTACAAATATTCGTCTTTTTTTTTTCTATGTGTTTCACGATTATTATCTTGTGATTCTCAGCTATTAGCAAATTGCGTTATTCTGTGTTCGAAATTGTATCTAGTCATTTTTCGTTTTTGTTTTTAATTTTATTAATATGTTTCATTTTGATCGACTAGTTTTAATAAAATTAAGAAATAGAATTCACTAGACATGACAAAGTTGTCAGACTAATATGAAGTGTTCACACCTAAGACCATGAAGTTTTTTGTAAAGTAGATTAGATTTGACGTGTATATGAGACTTATTTTAGGCTAAGCATGACAATCCTCTCAAACATTTTCAATTGATTCAAATTAAATAATATGTCATTTTTTATAAAAATGAACTAGTAATGATCGCTAGATAGAACATTCTATACAAGATATGATCTATACTATTGGTGTTTGAGACTCGATATGTGTTATCCGATATTTTACATTGTTCCCACGCTTAGAAATGGGCATGTATCTGAGATGAAACGAACGACAAGGCGCATTTATGCATGTTTTCCTTATATTTATGTCTATTTCTGACAAAATGTTATCAATAACGACGAGTAAAAATAAAAATAATTGGCACATGTTTACTACAAATAGTTTTACGGCACGTATCCATTGATTGATTTAATTGATCCTAGAACCTTTCTTCGTCTAGCCCTACGACATTTTTCATTTTTCTTTTTGTTTTTTTTTTATTTATTTCCTCGTCATATTCATTCTCTATTTCATTTTACTATTTATTAATGTCAATCATGTAATTTATCTTCTTCTATTTTTTTTTTCACCTCTGATATATTCATTCCTCCAATTTTCCATCGTAAGGTCATCTGAGTACGTTCAAAAACACAATAATATTGCCTATAAAGCAGAACTAATCTTAAAAAAATATTAGTTTTTTTTTCTTTTCTCTTCTTAACAAATTCAAGAAATCTTGATGTTTTTCACATCTCAATTCATTATACTTAAGCAAAAGAGAAAGAAATAAAAAAGCGTAGAAAAGTAATATTCAAAAGGTATGTTATTTAAAAGTTTACAACATATGATCGTTATAAAAAGTATTATTAACAGTTATATGACATTGAAAAGTATACGATATAGAATAAATAAAATACTTATAAGAAATGAAGACGACGAACGAAAGTAATCTATTATATAAGTTGAGTAGTTTCTTTTTACTTTTGGAACGTAAGTTATTCAAACAATTAATCTAAAAATAATCATACAAAAGAGAAAGCAATTGAAGAAGCCAAATAAATTTTTTGAGGTAGATCGAGTGCTCATCTACTGCTGAAAATATATATATTATTTCAATGTTAATAACAGACCATTCGAATCCTGAGGGTGGGAGCTCAACGGTTTCTAAAGAGGGTTGAGCCCCTTTCCGCCATCCATAGCTTTGTAACAGAACACACATCTAAATACTATTGAATACTTAAGGATAATCATTTTCATTCATATTTTACTTTGACTTTTCATGTTCTTTTGGATAAGTCAAATGGACTCAGTAATTTGTTTTGAGGGAGTTGAGCCATCTCCTGTCTCCGCTACTAATTATGTATATGATCGTCGTGAAACATGCTAATTGTTATCTATATGAGACAGAGAAACGTCATTGAATTATTTCTCAGTATTCTCAAGAGAAACTTCTATTATTATCTAAGATATTTCTATTTTATGCCTGCACTAGTTATATCGATCCATATATATATAAACTTAGTCAAGTAACAAATTAGTTTGATAAGAAAAGAACGAAAAAAAAAAAGAAAAAAGTCGATTTCTTTTTCTTTTTTTCTTTTCTTTATATCGATCAGTATGATGACGCGCAAGATACAACATATGTCTACTAAAAATAAATGTCTTTTCTTTCTTTCTAGATTTTCATACTCATAACAATGATCAAATCAATATTTCATTGATAGTCAATAATAATAACAAAAAAAAAGATGTGACGATGACTAACGAAAGTCTACTCGGCATCCCTGAAATCATACGAAAATTCAATGACTCTAGATCATTTAGTACACTAACGGATATTTATTCATCATCCGTTATTAGCCAAAAAGCCAAAAATTCTGATATATCACCAGTAGCATGTATTGGTTTTGCTATGCTTATATTAACTACAGTAATTGGTAATACACTTGTACTAGCAGCACTTTTTCTCGATAGAAGACTTCATACACCGTCGTTTTTTCTTATTGCTAATATGGCTATTGCTGATTTATTACTTGGTAAGAAGAGTTTTGTTTTTAATAAGAAATTCATCAAGGAGAAGATTCTTTAGGTGTATCTGTCCTTCCGTTTTCATCTGTACTCGAACTTCTCAATAATCGTTGGATTTTCGGACAAAATTTTTGTTCAGCATGGCTTGCACTTGATGTACTCTGTTGTACAGCATCAATTATAGGGTTAGCTGGTGTATCTATTGATCGATATATTGGTGTAACACGACCATTAAAATATAATAGAATAATGACAATACGACGTACGGTTTATTTAATAATTATTATTTGGGCTGCATCAATTTTAACATCAGTTGTACCATTATTTGGTTTAACTGATCGAGGAACTCTATTAAAAAAAAATAATTCTTCAAATGAAGTTTCAGAAACATGTGAAGTTAATAAAAATACATTTTATACAATATTTTCTTCTGCGATATCATTTTATATACCAGTTATTATACTTCTTATACTTTATTCCCGCATATATCAAGAAGCGAAAAAACAAGGAAAAAAATTAGAGATGGATAGACGACGTCTCTACGAAATTGACTATCAAATGGCATCCGAAAATCTTCGACAACAACAAAGTCAATCTAATGGACATGCAACAAAAAATCGAACTCCTTCAAATAAATCAGATGATAATAAAAATGAAGTGTCATTAACACTTATAAATTCCGATCAAAATCCTGATGAAGAAACTAGTCTCGATCGTACTTTGACATCAACGTATAAAGGTTCATTGAAAAAAAAAGATTCAGATCTTCAGGTATCAGTAAATAGAATAATAAATATGCCATTTTTTCTTCTAGGTCAAATAACATTTAAAATAGAATACGAAATAAATAGTGTTATAAAAAAAAAAAGGAAAAGCCACTTATGAGAGCAATCTAGAAGAATAAGGTAGACAAAAGAATGAACAAAAAATTCAATTAAATGAGTAATGATGAATTAAAAGAAAATACAAATGAAGAAGATTTACCTTATTGAAGGCAAAAAAAACGTTTTCTTTTCATAAGGTGTTCCGTGGCTTTTCTTTTGATGCAAGATGACAGTGGAAAGTCTCAATTTTTTAAGTTGATCATGCAAGACAGTTATTTTTAAGTAAATTAACAAAAGTGTAATTATCAAAAATTCTGCTACTAAGTAAGAAGTATCGAATTTTGATTTGTTTGGTCTCATACTTTGACCATAAATAGAACGCGATGAACCCTGATCCCAAGTAGCAATCACGAAGTGATCAACCTTTATGCGAGAAAGAAGCAAAAAGGTCAACATAGGTTTTTTTTATTGAGACAAGGATATTATAGCATTAACAACAAAGCTTACAACGTTTGACTCCTCATTCAAAAGCTCAGTGTTACCTCTATGTCTTATAAATATTTTCGATCCAACGATTGTAGTTGACCTGTTTTATGAAGTTATGTTTGGGTATGCCTTGCAGGAGAGTTGATAGGATTCATCAAAAAATAAACCTGTAATTCAGATGATTTTCTATCTTATGCTTTGAAATTTGCTGCAGTTAGCTCTCTACACTAACCAAATATTTTCTGAAAGTTTCATGATTATTGCCATTGATACAGCAGACGTCTAGGTGAAGATTATCCCACATAAAAGAAATGTTGTTACCTGGTAGCAAGACTTTCGACGACTACTATATAACCACTATTAATCAACTAATTATTTTGAATATGAGAAATAATATAATAAGCTTTGCAGAATTTTATTGTTCGATATCATGATGTCGATTCTTTCTATCCAGATCAGAGATGAGCACAGGACAAGATTTTCTCTCCTGTCCTGCTAGCTATCTCGGTCCTGGTGGGTGGCAGGACAGGACAAAAATCAAAATCTTGTCCTGTCCTGTTTTTGTCCTGCTAACTTTTTTGTCCCGGCGGGCGGCAGGACAAGACGTCACGATTTCTGCCGTTTTTCTACCAATTAAATCCGCTTTCACAGGTTGTAAAATGCCAAGAGTGAGTTTTACTTCTACTTTCATTGTACAAAGCAAACATCACCAATTAATATTTTCTAACTAATGCATTTTTATATAGTTTTCAAGAAAAAAAAAATATTAGAGATGAGCACAGGACAAGGATTTTTTACCTGTCTTGTTCTGTCCTGGCGGGCGGCAGGACAGGACAGGAGAGGGCACCAGGACCGTCCTATCCTGTGCTCATCTCTGATCCAGATTCAATTCATTTAGGTCAAACGAGGTAAAGCCGATAGAAGATCAGTAATCAATCGACAGTAGTCTGATACGTCAACAGTCGACTATCCTTTGATCCGTATTCTACTTCTTGTATGCCGTCAGTAGTGCGAACAAGCGAGTAACATAAGAATATTTACAGAAATATCAGTATTAAACAAAATTATAAAGAAGTCTACAATACTTTGGTTTCCCGGTTTCGGTTTTTGAGATATCGAAATTCTACTGGATTTTTCAGTCTTCTCAGGTCACGTAGAAAATCAACTTTCGATTTCAATCTTTGCATGAACAAGTTCTTTATGAGATTAGTTCATTCGGCAAGTTTTAGCTTTTGTTTCTGAAAATGTAAATATATGAACAAATTTTGCTTTTACACATGAGAGACTTTCAAATATTCAATATCTTAGGATAGGTGATGCTAGAAAAGTTACAATTTGTTCAATGAATTAATCGCATTTAGAAATTTGTTCATACAAAGTTTGAAATCGAAAGTCGAGTTTTCGCATGATCTCAGGAAACGAAAGCCCAGAAAAGCAACCTATTGTAAACTTTTCTATTACTCACTAGTACTCATCAAATAAACACGTCTAAATTGAAAAGTGATTTAACATCTGAAGAGTTTTTCTCGGAAGTCTCAAACTGTTTAGAAATATCTCGAATGTTACCAACAATAATTTATTCCTGTAAAGAAATCTATTTTATTTAGTGTGACCGCAGCACTTTTCCATCTGTCGTATAGGATCTCTCTATCTCTCTCATACACAGAGTTCGTGCTTATTTCATTATATACAATGTGTCTGCTTTCTTGAAGTGCTGATCCACCCCTCCGGAAGAGAAAAATTAGATAAATTATTGATTAAAAATTCATATGAATCTTTCTTTAAATATACTTGAAAAAAATAAATTTCAATTATTTTTTAATTTTGTAGAATAATCACGATGATGATGCATCTCATTATGGATCTTTACTTGATTCTCGTAAAAACCGAGGACGTGGTTTCCTTGATAAAGGTCTATTTTCAACATTAAGACGAAACTCTGGTCTTATTGCTTCTCATTTTTCAAACTACAATAATCAAATGTCATCAAACGAGGAATTAATTATAATAAAAAATAAAATACATAATCTTAAATGTGAAAAAAAAGCTTTTCGTACAGTTGGTCTTATTCTTGGTGCTTTACTTATATGTTGGCTTCCATTTTTTGTAACATTACCTCTTATGTCAATACTTAAAGATCATGGAATACTCAAAGATGAAAAAATTGCAAATATATGGTTTAAAATTACTTTTTGGCTTGGTTATATCAATTCAGCAGTAGGTTTTGAGGAAAAACAAAATGTTAATATTATTTTATATTATTTATTATTTCTTTCTTTTTGTTCTTAAAAGCTTAATCCATTTGTGTATGCTTTTTCTAATCGTGCAATACGTCGAGGATTTCGTGAAGTGATATTTCGTCGTTTTTGTTGTTGTATTTGTCCAAAAAAATCAAATCAGTGTAACGAACAAACAGTTCATCGACGTCGCTGTATTCGTAGTGATTCATTCACAGACTCATCACAAATAGCTTCGAAACGAAAAAATTCATATTCAGTAGATACTATTCGGGCAATACCAAAACCCGAAGATAACCTTGAAACTTCATGTTCTAAACAAGTTCAATCTCCTAATACGAACGGACCAGTTGTTTCATTTGCTGAATTTCTATCTGACACAGATAATGATGATATTTCATCTCATAATAATGAACAACCTAATACAGCATTTATTCCAACATCAACAGAGAAAAATTCTATTTTAAATTCGAATTCTTGAACAAAAAAAAGCATAAAAATAACTTTTCTTCTTCGCTCAACATACCGGTGAATTCTTGTATTTTTTATTCTCATTAATCTTAGTTGTTTCACATAAATAAATTTTTTTTTTTTGTTCTGGTTCCTATTGAGACTATTTGTGTATAACTCATGTCCATTACATTCCATTTCAATAATTTTTGTGTTTCTTTTTTCATTTATTTACTGCATGTTTTTTTTTTATTGTAAAAAAAAAAACAAGTTTATTTTAGAAATACGATCTTTACTACATCAAATTATTTTAAACAAGGTCAAAAGACAAAGCACATAATGAAAATTCTTTTGAATATGCAACAGTTATCTATTTTAGAAAAATACTTAGAGCATGCCAAAAGTAATGGTGATAGTATTATAATATCTTATAGAAGGCTCGCTGAATTTTTTTCTATACATATATTGACAGTCCAAACAGTGCTCTGTAATATTTTTATTTCATTTGCCAATAGGTATGATAATATTAAAATTTCGATCAAAGCTGTTCGATTCTGATTTAGATCGATAAGAAACACTTTTGCTTTTACATTTCAACTTACACTACGCTATATTTTAAGGACAATAAGAGATTGAAAAAGAAGAATGACCTACCGGACTTGTAATTCAGACTTCATGAATATTTGTTTATCCTCAAGGTCAGCTATTTCGATATATAACGAGTCGTAATCTTTTTAATACAGATTCAGTACTTTATCCTCAACATCTTCTCTACCTTCACGAAGCCATTCATATCATCTTTCGTCTGTTATGAGAGGTGAAGTCTGAACGCTGAAAATCAAATATAGTGTAGTATGAACTTAAATATGGAAGCAAAAGTTTTCCTTATTAATGTATATTAGAGGTGTACAGATTTCACGGATATGCTAATATTATCATACGAACTGAAGAATAATGAAATATTATAGAGTACTGTTTGGACTCTCAATATATTTATAGAAAAAAATTTCCTCAAATCTTCTATTATGTATTATAACCCCACCAGCATGGATCACTATTATTAGTATGTGATAATTCTGAACCAACTCATAATTGATTTATGCATGATTCTGATCGTACTTTGAGTAGCTTTGCTTTGTTCATATATTAAACTAGCGGCAGCTAGAACTGGCAAAGATTCTTAACAGGTTCGATCCAATGAGACCCATTGGTGGGTCTCACTATATTTACAAGAAGCCTAATAGAAAAACACTTTTTTGTCTCTTTTTCTTGGGCAACAAGTTACAGATTATGTGTCATTTGCTCTACCTTCACTCATTTGTTGCTTGAATGGTTTTTGTATAGTGTAATGCTTCTTGTTAAAATAATCAAGACAAAAATAATTGTCACAATTATAACAGACAGTTTTTATTTTCTTTCCTGTCATTAGGCTGGCTTCTGTTGATTTTCTCATAGCAGCCAGCACAGCACTCTTAGACAGTGTGCGTAGATCCTTCTTTTCTTTGGACTTTTGATCAAAAAGTTTGCGCTTCAATTGGTTTGTTGATTTTTGTCAAGGTAAACAACAAAGTTGATAAATTATACTGTTCGTCGAGAAAGAAAACTGTCTATGTGCGGTAACAAACAGAGAAGAGAAAACAACCAGCCAGTATAGAATGAAAAGGACAACAAGTGTGTTTGTCGCAAGAGAAATACCCACGAAAATGAATCTATTAGAGCTACTTTAATAAAATTGAATTGGGTCGAAAGTGTTAAAGTAATTCCATCCTAAAGTGGTCTAATATCGAAATATTTTCTAGATATTCAAACAAACAATACTACAATTAAGTTATTAAATTAATAAAAAGAATGCAATAAATCGATATCGAATATAGACAAGCATAAAGTAAAAGATTGTGTAACAAGTTAGATATGTAATGAAGAAAACTTCGAATTCCACAAATATTAATACAGAAATAATATCTTAACAAATCTGAATATGAGAATGCTCAAAATTATTCTAATTCATAACTATTTTGACAAGAACAATGAACGTATACATTCTTATCCATGAAAATAAGCGCGCCATCTATACAGAATGTTCTAAAAGTCCGCCAGAACATAAAACTTGAATAACAACATTTCAACAGTTTAATCAGTTCATATATTTCTTTTATCACTTGATTTCATAGTAATCCAATTTCTATTTAGCTTATTGCAAATAAAATGACTGAACCAATACCCATTAAAATACAAATTATTCTATTAGTCGCCAAATTTAATTGCTTTTACAAGTATGAAAACAAGAGTTCTCTCATTGTTTTTATCAAACTAATATTGTAATAGACTTGGCACATTCAGAACGTTTTGCACTAATAACATAAGAAAAAATCGCGTAAATTCATGTTGGTAGTGATAATTTATTGGTACGAAGTGTTTTGACTGGTCACAAACTTTGTTCAGTAAATAACTTCATAAAATGAGACTTCTTCGAGTTTTGACGATAAAATAAATGAATTTTTTGAGAACATTTTTCCTATCATGAGGAACTCTCGGAAAGATGATTTCATTCAATGAGTCCCATGATCATGTTACTTAGTATCATTCGAATTTTTTTCTATGGAGATATATAAGAGACAATATTCACTAAAGATCATGCTGAAATAACAATAAAACTCGGTAATGAAAATACAATGATTTTGTAGAAAACTCTATGCAATGTCATCTTTCAAATGTTTAAAGGCAATGAACTTGCATGTTTTAGTTTAGTGCACCCATTTTGAACAGCGAACGCAAATGAAATTATACAAAATGAAATTTTAATAATAACGTGATATAAAAGTATAGAAAATTCACAAATAACGTTTGACTTACTGAAAAATTATTCATGTTCTTTTTCTTACGGTGGACTTTTGGAATATTCTGTATAATCCGTACCATGCACTTTAGAGCATCTATTGAATAAGAATAATTAGTAGTAAGATAAATAGTGGTGAGATAACAAAGATCTAATTGAAGACTATCGACTATAAACACTCATTGTTTTTCTTTCTGCAATTGTAGAAAAAAAGATAATAAAAAAGTTCAAGATTACTTTCGTTATTTCGAACTATTTTTATCCTTTCTGTTTTCGTTTTTCTTTTTATCTGTGATTATTTATATGATGTTTCAAGTGCACATTATACTATCAAGAGTAAAGAATTTTATTTAGAAAGGTAAAAGATAAAGCGAGATAAACCAAAGAGTTCAAGTAAGTTGAATCAACCATTAATTTAGAACATAAAAACAATATTTTAAAGTCTAGAAATTATTATTAGTCTTTTACAGTTGCGATACACATTTCGAAAAATTAAGTATCAGTAATACCAGTGAGTGTCAATTGATTCCCATTCCCGTGAGGATTTTCCATCTTATTTATTGTATTCGTATTTCTATTAGCATCCATTAGTTCGCAGTTGTTACTTATACGTGGCTCTATTTTCGAAGATAATTGCTTTAATAAAATAAGACGATGATTGCATAGTCTATGAAAAGTCGGAAAAGATTCATTTCATATTTCTTTTTCAGCTGTGTTAATTTGCATAACAGAAGTTAGCCTTTTTCTCTTCTCGTCTATGTTGTCATGTCTTTTTCTTATTCTTATTTGTTTATTTATCAATACTTAGATATTTCTCATAACTGCATATGTTTCGTCTGAATATAGCATAAGTTCATGATAATACTCATTAGCATATTCCATCATAGATTGATATGTACTTCGATAAGCAATAATAAGCGTCTCGCTACTATTATTATCAACGTTATATTCATTTTGAACAGTAGAAATTAGTAGTGTATATCGTTAATCTGGTATAATATATATGTAGAGAGAGTTTATGCATATTATGACTATCTCTAATGATAAGCCTATGAATTTTCTTAATTATGATTGAGATCTGAATTGTAGAAAAAGAAACATGAGTTTTTTTTTTCGTATATAGCTTTTATGCTTTAAACTTCATTCATTATTCACGGCGAATATACCATAAGATGCGGCGCATTTTGTACTTTCGCGCTAGATTTAATATGTTTCAACATAAATGAATTGCGCTGATAAAAACAGAAACAAGCGAACGATGGAAAATCAATTAACCCCATTGTAATATACATGCTTGTTTAGTATGCTATCGTTAAAAGAGAAAATACAAGCACATAAACTTCTTGTTCTGTTCAGGATTTGTTTTTGGAATCGATATTGTCATACATGTTTTTGGATACTTGCTACTATGTATGATTTCCATCTATTTTGTAGATTGAACTCTTAATTTGCTTCTCCAATTCACTCTCTTCGCCTATTGATTAAAACGAATAGAGAAAGTTTCCTATTCATCTTGACTCAATTTTATTATACTCATACTTGAGTATTGAAGAAAAATTTAAGAATCCATGTCATGAATATCATCTCAGTTTTAATGATTAATCGTAATATTGAAAAAATCATCGATTCATTGACTAATTCATAGCAATAAGACTAGGTGAATCGTTACGTGGAACATTTTATTTTTATATTTTTTATTTCCAGATATTCAAATAACTCTTTCCCATAAACAATGACTCCAAGACTATTTCTCGTATTAGATAGTTTGTTAAATTTAGAATATTCGTACTAAATATGTATTACTAGATTCATTTCAGCCAATACAAAACAGAGGAAAACAAAACGTTTATTATTAGTGCACGCGAAACATTTCACCTTACTGTAGAATCTATTCAAAGCCATACAGTTTAATATTACATGTCAAGCTTACTTTTCTTATCTTCGTGAGAGAAGAAAAAAAAAGCACTTTTTTAATCTTTGTGGATCAATAAAATTCAAAATGTTTTAAAAAAGGGGCAACAACAATTTTATAGTTGTCGACGAAAAACTAACAAATACAGGATTTGGTACTTATATTTAGAATTCTAGCTAAATTTTCGTCTAGTATACTCCTCGACAAGTTCTTTTTTTTTTACAGACAGTATTAATTCATGATCGTCATTACAATGTGTATTAGATTTAATACATATGAAAAT